TTTTTTTTGTGGAACCGGGGATTGAACTCAGGCCCTTGCGCTTGCCAGGGAAGCGCTTATTCCACTGAGCCATCTCTCTGGCCCCTGAAGCACATTTTTTGAAGATGAATTTGGTATAAGATCTCTTCCAGCAGTTGGGAATCACTGGGTGTGAGTGGAGCATGGTAACAGAGACGTGAGTGGAGATGGTCAGTCACAGTGGACAAATGACACAGTGGGAGGGAAGTGACCTGGCTCTGAGGGCCAGCGGCTGGCAAGAGCCCAAGAGCCATGCCCAGGGTAGTGCGAGACCAATCACAGCTCCGGCTCGGCAGCTGCAGGCTCACCAGTGCTGTGGGACTGGTGACACAGAAGGAAACCTGCGTGTTCACTCACTCAGATGCCTTAGAGTCATGCAGGGCACTGCTTCTTACACTGATTTGTGAGATGTTTATAGATATCTTGCTTTAAAAAAGCTCTATGGTCAATTAGGTTTGGGAAGCACTAAACTCAATGACGCTCTAAACAGACTTCTCAAGAAAGACCTCACTAAATCAGGTTGTGGTCAGTCTCCAAGGGAAGCCAGAGCTACTACAACACTCCAGATTGTCTGCATATTCCCTTCCCCATCTCTGTGCACCAGGAACCACAAATCTGCACCAGAAGAAAAACTGTTATTCAGAAGAACAGCCTGGGAGATGCTGACTTAGCTAACAGGACTCGATCCATTTCCCCGCTTTGTCTCTGGGGCCCTGGAGTCCAGCTTCTCCTAAACTTCCATTCACCCTTGGTAGGAACCAGGACTCCATGCACCTACATGGTCAGGCTTGCACACAACTCCATCTACTGCAATGGCCCTTTCTTTCTTTTTTCAAAAGTTTTCTTTTTTGTCTTTTTGAGACAGGGTCTTGCTATGCAGTTTGGGCTGGCCTTGAACTCACAACGATCCGACTGCCTCAGCCTCCCGAGTGCCGTGATTACAAGTGCGTGCTACCACGCCCTGCAAGGGCCCTTTCTAATCAGGCTCCCCATTGACTTTCCTGCCCTATTTCCATATCCTTTTTGGGTCTCACCCAACCAGCCAGGGGCACTCAGGTCAGTACTGCCACCCATCAGGGCCCCCATGGGGGCTCTAGGAAACTTTCTTACCCTTTTCAATTACAACCTATCACTTTCTCTGTTCTAGTCCACTGCTTAGCATCACTTTTTAAGTGGTACAAGCACTGAAATCCAACTTACCTATTTGCTGAGCAGGGTACTGCACCAGTGCCCAGCAAGTGCAACATTGCCCTCAAGGTAAGAAGTGGGAAGAGACAGGTCGGAAGCACAGGGCAATGCTAGTTATGTTCAGGGAGCGCTTACTGTGTATGTGCAGGATGCTCATGGATCGGCTCCTTTAGAACTTACACAACTGCCCTGTGCTACAGGCACTATAATCACCCTCACTTTTTTTTTTAATTTTTAAAAATTTTTTAAATTTTTTTTTCGTAATTTTATTGATAAACAAATAGCAATGAGACAGTTTCAAATCAAATCACTAGGACAATTTCAAAAACTAACACACTGCATACATTCTTCTTGGTAGTTAATTGCTGTACAAAATGTGGACTTGATATCCTATTTACAAACACCACTAGAACAAATCATTCTATTCATTAACAGAATGTAACTATATATCTATCCTAACCACTTTGAATACACAGATACAAAATGGATATTCATTTGTATACCCTTTTTTGGTTAAGTTCCGTTATTTGAATATTATAGGTGTGTAAACTCAGCAAAATATTCTAAAAGAGTCCAGTAGCCCATAATAGCATTGGGTCTTCTATTTAACTGGCAATGTCAGAAATTGTTGACCTGAGTCCCCCACAGCTCAACATAACAGCATGGCTTACTTCTTATATTTCGTTTTCATACTTTTCTGCTGGATGGTTAAGACCAAGGTAAAGCAGGACCTATGCAACAAGAGTTGTAGCTTTTGGGTCTGATAAGGTCAGTGAAATCCCCTCCGGATTTATCCTGAGATCCTGTACTCAGATTGTAGAATCTTTGTCAGTGTCAGCCATGTGGATGAGTCACGGCCCTTGCTTGGCCAATGTGCTCTCTGTGAAAGCCTGAGAGAATGTTTTCTCTCCATGTGACTCTCCTTAGGCACACTCTACACCATCTATCACTTTCCTCTTTGGCCCCATAATCTCCTTGATCAGAAAATTTGGGACACTACCAAGTTACATGATGTTACAGTACAAGTTCTCATATGTCCTGAGTCTTAATTGACCTTAGAAGGTTAGGGTCAAAATGTTGGCTTTCCTTGCAGCCCTTCTTTTTCTCTAATTTTGGTCTGCAAACTTAGGTTGTTAACCATCCATAAGACAAACTTATTGTTATTATCAAACAATTTAGGCTGTTAAGCTTAACCTCACTATCTGTCTGCATATCAAACATCTTAGGCATACTATGGAACAGGTATTTTTCATCAAGTATTGATATGTTGAACTTTATGTCCCTACAGAATATGATAAAAACATTTAAAAATTAGAATATATTTTAATCACCCTCATTTTATACAAAGAAACAGAGGTCAAGAGTTTGTTCAAGGTCATTCACTCAAGCTGGAGCTTCAGTTTTAATTCTTAAATTCCAGACCCCCACTCTTTACCAAGCTACTATCCTGTCTTCTTATACCACAGTCTGAGACATATGACTCTGAAAAGACAAGGAAAGCGCAAACCCAATGTTGCTGGTAGTACTAGTGGAAAAGCATGAAAGAGAACAGCATCTGAAATATACATTGGAGGATGGGTGGATTTCACTGGCTGGAAATGGGGCCTCAAAGGGCTTTCCAGGCAGAGGGAAGAGGATGAGTAACCGTGGGGCACAGTGTGGGGTGTATTCATCTGAGCCCCACCTAGGCCTAAGGGAGCAGCTGTTCCCTTACAAAAAAGCCATTATGGTCACTGGCTCAGTGCTGATTTGTAAATCTGGTCCATGAAACACATGTTTCTGGCCAGTGTGAAGAAGACTTCAGAGCATTTTATAGCAATTTTACAGAACAATTTGAAGAACTAAATCTCATAACAATTTAAAAACGCGGGAGTTATTTTTTAAAATTTTATTTTCCTAAGAATTTATTTTTTTATTGTATTTATATAAAGTACTAGTCCATGGTTGACAGGAAATCACAAAGAAACAAACTGTCCTTGCAGCATGTCTATTTGGGGAGAATGGAGCTAGACCAGAAGTGGCTTCTCCAGTCCTTCCTAGTTGAATGACAAGTGCTCTTACAGTGGCTGCTCAATCAGCTGAAAGGGGTATACTGCAAGTGACATTCAGGTCACCAGCACTGGGTACACACAGGTTTAGACCTAACTGTAGGGAATTTTCTTGTTTTACATTCATTATAATACCTAAAGATGTGGATTAAAACATGGAGAGAGAGAGAGAGAGAGAGAGAGAGAGAGAGAGAGAGAGAGAGAGAGACAGACAGAGATAGACAGAGACAGAGACACCGACTTTGAAATGCCAAATATATTACAAAGAAATGACTCCTTTAGATTATCTTCTGACCTAAATAAAACCTATTTCCTTTCCTTTCCTAAATAGGAAAAACAAAAACAAAACCACCAGGCTACTCTGGAAACGCTGAAAGCTGGTGAGCGGCGTTTCTGGAAAGCTCTCTATGGAAAACGCTTTACTGTCCTCTAGCAAACCTACAAGCACTACTACTTTCCCACATGCCCATCTTCGACTTCAGTATCCACAAGCTGGGAGCTCAGCCAGGGAACGCATCACCACCACGGCCAGGAGAACTGGAATGGGACGTTTAGTTTTGTTTCACTCAAACGAAGGGGAGAGAATCATAGCACTCTGGGCAAAGGCTAGCTGTAAAAATCTGGACTTACCGCTAAGCCTCATTCTCTACCACACTTGTTTTCCAGAAACAATGACAAAAGAGGTAGCAGGGCTGCTAAGCAAAACGACTGCGGGCACTAATGTGGCTGTGTGCAGCCAACGAAAACGGCCACCATCTTTACAGAACTTGCCTTCTGAAATAGATCTAGGCTCACTGCTTTTTTTGTTTAGGACAGGGCCTGGCTATGTTGTT